TTGATGAGTCAAAAATGCCTTGCTTAGAAAATAAGGAGCCAAAAGGGCTATTTGGTGATGAAAATTATGATAATACCAAGCTGTAGGTGGAGCTTGGCTTGCCTACTGAACATGTTGGTGATGAACAGGTGGAGGAAGAAGTTGAAATAGCTTCTGGTCCTCAAGAAAATCTGGAAAGTCAGCCTGATGAATTGGGAGATTACCAATTAGCTAGAGATAGAACTAGGAGAGAAGTAAGAGAGCCTGTGAGGTATGGAGATTACCTTTCACTTGTTGTTTTGTCCTATCAAGACTTAGAGTTTAAAGAACCAAAATCTTATGAAGAGGCTATAACCTGTAAGCAATCTGAGAATTGGCATACAGCTATGATAGATGAGATGGACTCTTTAATAAAAAATGAGACTTGGACTTTAGTTCCTAAACCTGCAGGTAAAACCATTGTTGATTGGAAGTGGATTTTTAGTGTTAAGGAGGGAAATACTAAAAAGATGCCCATAAGATTTAAGGCTAGACTTGTAGCAAAAGGATTTACGCAAAAAGAGGGCATAGATTATAATGAGATATTTTCTCATGTGATAAAGTACACTATAATTAGAGTTATGCTTGCTCTTGTTGCTCATTATGATCTTGAACTTGAACAAATAGACGTGAAAACTACCTTCTTGCATGGTGACCTTGATGAAGTGATTTACATGAGACAACCACCTGGTTTTATTGATGAATCTAAATTTGATCATGTGTGCTTGTTAAAAAGATCATTATATGGTTTGAAACAATCTCCACGACAATGGTACAAAATGTTTGATAATTTTGTATCTACTATTGGTTTCATAAGAAGCGAATTTGATCATTGTCTTTATTTTAAAAGAAATGATGAAAATGCTATTGTTGCCTTTATACTTCTTTACGTGGATGATATGTTACTGATTGGTCAGAATATGCATGTTATTAATCAGATAAAACGGTCTTTAAGTACTGAATTTGAAATGAAAGACCTAGGACATACAAAGAGAATTTTAGGAATGGAAATTACTAGAAAAAGGCACCATAGGTTACTGCACTTGAAGCAAACAGCATATATTGAAAAAATGTTGACTAAATTTGCCATGCACAACTCTAAATCTGTTTCACTTCTATTGGCCAGCCATTTTAAACTTAGTAAAGAGCAAAGTCCTGTAAATGAATCTGACATTAAACAAATGGAAAATGTACCATATGCTAATGCAGTAGGATCTGTCATGTATATTATGGTATGTACTAGGCCTAATGTAGCTCATTCCATTAGCACACTTAGTAGATTTATGGCCAATCTAAGACCAGAACATTAGGTTGCTCTAAAATGGCTGTTAAGATATTTGAAAGGATCTTCACATATTGGTTGATTTTTAATGCCTGTAATGAAGGTGTTGTACTTAAGGGTTTTGTGGATTCAGATTTTGCCGGAGATAGAGATAATAGGAAATCTACTACTGCTTATATGTTTACTTTGTGTAACACATGTATTAATTGGAAATTTCAACTACAACCTATTGTTGCTTTATCTACAACTGAAGTTGAGTATGTTGCTGCAACTGAAACAATAAAAGAAGCATTATGGCTTAAGGGCTTGTTATCTGAAATAAATGAATTAAGTAACCCTGTTGTTTTATATTCAAACAGTCAAAGTACAATTCACTTATGTAAAAACCCTGTTTTTCATGAAAGAACCGAACATATTGATGTTAAGTTGCATTTTATTAGAGATGCTTTTTTAAAGAACTTATTTTACTTGAGAAAATTGCAACTCAATTTAATCCAGCTGATGTGAGGACTAAGGTAATACCTTTAACCAAGTTTAAGTCTTGTTTACAAACTTTGAACATTGATGCTGGTTAAATTTTTTGGTTATGTACAGGTGCTGTTCTTGATGCTTGTTGGAAGTACATGGAAGCTGTTTTTGGGAATGAGATATAAATTGTATTTTACATTTATTAGGCTATTTGTATGACCACTGGCATCAAGGTGAAGATCTGTTGGGCTGTGATGCCAATGATCAGTCCAACAAAAGACAATGATGATAAAATCCAGGCCCAATAGATAAAGAGCAAATTGATCCACTCTTTGATACTTAGACGACCCACTTAACCGAGCCCAATAACCCGCCCATTCTCATAGTTGCTCTGGGACCGTTGGATCGACACATTAATCTGATGGATGATGATTTCTACTATAAATATATCCTTTTCTCTTGACCTAGGGTTGGAAGTCGTCATTTTTCATTCTCTCTTCTGTGAGCCGTATTTCTGGAACCTTCAAAAGGGTTTTCTGGTTTTGTTCATCTTCGACCTCTCTGTGTGGGATTCTGAAGAATCGTCTCTGTGATATTCATTCCTTGGGTGATTCTTCTTTGTGTGAGTGATCTGTGTCGAAGTGGTTTGTCCATTTTGTGTCCCATTGAAGTAACTTTGAAGCTTTGGGACGGTGAGGGCTCGCAGTTGAGATCTTGGTGTCTCTGTGATGTTATAAATGGGGTCTTTGGTCTGAGCCTAATAAGGATCTTCACTAGATGCTGTGGTTTAGGGATTTATGTAAACGGTATACTTTGGTTGTACTATTTCAGATTAGTGAATAATAGACTCATTTCCTTGAAGTGTTATCTATTTTTATTTCGTATCTAAATTATATATTATTTTTAGAAAATTTACCAATGAATTACTTAGTTTATGTGATTATGTGCAACTATATAATTTTAACAATTATTTTTCATAATTAATTATTCTTTATATTTGTTAACATTAAATAGTTTTCTATTAAAAAGTATCACAAATATTTTAATATTTTTAATACTAAATTATCAAAATCCTTAAAAACTTTTGTTGATGATAAAGTCATTTAATGTTTGTTAAGTTAATTACAGAAAAATTATTATTTTAATTAATTAGATCATAAAGAAATTTGAAATTGAAAATCGTAATTTAATTTAAGACTTTATTAAGTCCTTGTTTGGTTCATTTATTTCCAAAATACATTTATCTCCCTCTTATTTTTAATCACATTTTTCAATAAAATAATATTAAATTCAAACTCAAAATCTTTCCTTATTTTCTAACCACACATTCTCCATCAAAATACTATTGCAAAATGGATTTTGGATAAAAAAAAATGAATCTCAAACAGGCTCTAAATTTATATCTTCTATTTAAATTATATTTCTTTTAAAGTTCTAATAATCTTTGATTAGTACGCGTATTCAAGTCAAGTCATTAGTCAAAAGTGAGTAAATTATTTATTTCGAAACTGGTCCTCTTTTAAGTAAAAATAGATTATAAAAATGGAAAATACCATTTGTACAGAAAAATTGTTTACCACCTTCTTGACAGATTCTCACATTCGCCTGGGACTCACATGGGACCCGAGTGAAAAAAAAATGATAAAAAATTGCTCTCCCTCCCCGCTCCCCCTATGAGTCTGTTCTGCTAGGGAGTGTGTCAAACCCTCCCTGTACAAACAGTAAGGTCGTATAAAAATACGTTGCTTTTGGATAAAATTCACTTATAAAAATGTCATTAACTTATTTTTCTTAAGCCAAACATGCAATACTTCTTAAAGGTATCAACTATCAACTAAAGAAAGCAAAATATTCAAGTCTTATTGGGTAATTTATACTTCTACGCCCGATTTGAATGGCAATTAAGGAAATACTACAACTTAATTTAGCTAACTGGCTTTACGAAACATAAATTATAGCATAATTCAAATTGACATAATAGTCCCTAAAATTACGCTCTTGCCAAATGTCGTATTGAATTTGAATTTTAGTTCATGTTTGATGCAGATTGTTTAAAACTCATTTTTAAATGTGCATTCTCAAAATAAAAAAAATTTGCTCTTGGACCCATAATATTTCCTATTTTTGAACCACATTCTCCAAAATATTACTTTTCAAAAAATCTGCTATTCTCAAAAAATCTACGTTAAACAAGCCCTTAATCAATTGATGATAAAATTCAAAAGTTGTAACTGAGAGGTTTTAATTGGAGAGGTGACATTTCTCTTACCAAATATGTATGTAATAGACGACGAGGGAGGTACGTACTTCCAAACTACATTACTTTCGCATTCCTCATGTTTTCAACTTGAGGGTCACTAGGACTAAGACTAGGACACCATCTAGTAATGCATGTGACGAGAACATATTTTCGTGGAACGGATATATTTCAAGAGTTATTGCAAGATAAAAAGAACCTCAACAAATACAAATCTCTGTAAGGATTCATCTAACTTGAATCGGTTGAACTTGGTTAGATTAGGTGGGTTGGGAGCTCTTTTGATCAGAGACATCCCTCTATCTTTGCTTAAACCTAACTCATACTCCGTGGTTGGAACACTTGGACTAAACCTTTCTCTCCCTTGATTTCCAAAACACATCATTGGAAACAACATTACTGTTGAAGAAAGTTATAATCATCATGTATTTATTATATAGGTGAAAAATGATCTACCATGATAGTGATGTTTGATGCTAAGATCTTGTGTGGTTTTAAATAAAAAAAATAAAACATTAAAGAACAAAGAAAAAATATAGTACGGAAGTCATTAAAGCATGACTTATGTAGCAAGATGGTTCCTAATGACGGTTTTAATCCATATAGAGTTGATAAGTCGGTCCTTATTGAGTTGATAAGTCGATCGGGAATTTGTTGAAATAATGATTTTTCTTATTCTCAAATCTCATTTAAGGTAGAAATAAAGAGAAATTAGAAAAGATATTGGACTAAACATCGGTCGATCAGGTTTAAAAGAGAAAAAACTAAAATCTTGTTAGTCCAATCAAGTCGCGCTATCAAACCTATGTTAGCTTCATAATTTTATCATTATGAGTCACTTTTTTCAACAAATGAGTGTTAGAATGTTATTGTCTTCAATACAAAAATCTTCCAGCCTGTTCTTTATTCCACAAAGTTTTGCTTCAAGATACAGAAATTCCATCAGTTATATAACACTGAAAAAGTGACACCAGCATTCAACTACCAGTAGGTAAAAGATCTCAAATTCTCCGAAACCCTTCAATCTACACACTTTTTTCTTGTTAGAAAACACTTAGTTTCGACAGTCCGAAGTATTTGCCATTCCAATTCAATAAACTTGATATATTATTAGAGGGAAAATGAGATTTCTTGTTACAGTATGGTTCTTATGCATATTTCTTTCATGTGCAGGTAAATTTATATTCTTGATCAAATTCATTTTGGATCCTGAAATTCTGCTTTTTTTTCCTTAAAACAAAAAATTCCAACTTGTTTATTTACGGGTTGCTGCAGTTGCCTATGATCCTTTGGATCCAACTGGGAACATAACAATCAAATGGGATGTAATGTCTTGGACACCAGATGGTTATGTGGTGAGTACTGCCTTATATATACAAATTAATCTTCTGAACTTTTTGAATTTCTGATACAAAGAGATTATGGCAAACACAAAATGGCTTTGTCAAAATAGCATTCGCCTTACTTAAAAGATCGCGAAAACATTCGTGTGAACTACCCTTATTTAAATAACTATAATGATATATATGTTTTCCTAGGCTGTTGTGACAATGAACAATTTTCAAATGTACCGGCACATCATGAGCCCGGGCTGGACCCTGGGCTGGACATGGGCTAAGAAAGAAGTAATATGGTCCATGGTTGGGGCACAGACCACAGAACAAGGGGACTGTTCTAAGTTCAAAGCTACCATACCACATTGTTGCAAAAAGAATCCAACGGTGGTGGACTTGCTCCCTGGTGTTCCTTACAACCAGCAATTCAGCAACTGCTGCAAAGGTGGAGTCATGTCTTCGTGGGGCCAAGATCCACAGGCTGCCATCTCGGCCTTCCAAGTTAGCGTTGGCCAAGCCGGTACCTCTAACAAGACTGTAAAGCTTCCAAAGAACTTTACCTTGTTAGGTCCTGGACCAGGCTACACTTGTGGTCCTGCAAAAGTTGTTCCTTCAACCAATTTCCTCACAACTGATCGGCGCAGGAAAACTCAGGCCCTGAGTAAGTCCTTTTTTCCATACTTCTTGTGCAGTATTAGATATGACTAGACATTATAATTTAGGATTGAAAAGCATTGTTAGTCATTCTTTTTTCTGTTAATTCAGTATATTGAGTACCTAACTGAAACAAAAATGAAAGTTCATTGATTCATTTCGGGAAGGAAAAAAAATGGTTTCAGAAATGCTATAACTTTGGTGACTAACAGTGTTTTTAAATACAAAATTTAGTTTATTTTTCTTCTTTAACAGTGTTCTAATCAATCTTTGAAGATTTCACATTCTTGATTGAGCTCTAGTTTGCTAATACTTGGATTCAATGCAGTGACATGGAATGTGACATGTACCTTTTCACAGTTTCTAGCCCGGAAACACCCCAGCTGTTGTGTCTCAATTTCGTCCTTCTACAATGAAACAATCACTTCTTGTCCTTCTTGTGCTTGTGGCTGCGAAAACAAAAATAAATGCATCAAGTTAGCAACTATTTTGATATGGCACATCAATTTGTATACACTATTTGTGTAAAATGAGTCGAATAACTGGTAACTATGTTTGCAGGAGCGACTCGAAACTTCTTAATATGGTTGGGATAAACACTCCAAGAAAAGATAACTCGCCCCTTTTACAGTGCACGCACCATATGTGCCCAATCCGGGTGCACTGGCATGTTAAGGTCAATTACAAGGACTACTGGCGTGTGAAGATAGCAATAACTAATTTTAACTACAGAATGAACTACACACAATGGACTCTTGTTGTACAGCATCCAAATCTGGACAATGTGACCCAAGTTTTCAGCTTCGATTACAAGCCTCTGGCACCCTATGCATCCATCAGTAAGTTTATAAACTCGTCTGAGAACATTTGTTAAAATACTACACGCTTGTGTACTAAAAATATGTACATTTGATATGTGTAGACGACACCGGAATGTTTTATGGCATGAAATTCTACAATGACCTGCTGATGGAAGCTGGGCCGTCTGGGAACGTGCAGTCAGAAGTTCTTATGCAGAAGGACAAGAACACCTTTTCCCTCAAGCAAGGATGGGCGTTCCCCAGGAAAGTATATTTCAATGGTGAAGAATGCATGCTGCCCCCACCGGATTCTTATCCGTCTCTAGCAAATTCTGCTCATCCAAGTCGAGTTTCTATCTCAACATTGTTCAGTTTTGGACTTCTGGTTTTTGTTGTAATGTGGGGATGAGTTTCCAAATTTTAATAGTATTGGAAATTTTGAAGACAAAGAACGGAGACTCTCAGTGATTCAATGATTATTGGTCCAGTAATCCTAGCAACATAAAAAATTTAAACCTCTGTTTACTATTTGTATGTGGCATTTGTCAAATTGTTCTTATTCTATACTTCTGCGAGCGAACTACCTACGATATGGGACAATTTACCGTGGGGGGCTTATTCTTTACAGGAAGCTTCATCAGACACTATCTCATTAGAGTTCGAGTGCTTTCTTTAGGAATGATGCCTAACCTCATCTGAGATCAGCTGCACTGGCTGAAATGTCGGCAGGATTTGTATAAAGAAGCGAGTGCATATTGAAGCTTAGACGAAGACTCTGTATTTGGAATTAAACTTTTACAGCTCTAGTAATACTATGAACTGAAAAATCTATGAACAATGTGATGTAAAGCACTAGCAAATCATGTTATATAAGAAGATAAAAAATGGAAGTGACGTCACTAACTCTTACAGTAAGTAGGAACATCCAAAGTATGTTTGGTAGAGTACTGAAGAGGAGTAGATAATACTGAAGACAAAGGATTTTAGCTTCATTTTACTTTTGCAATATGGCCTGATACTGTACATTTCATCTTATGTGATGAACAACAATGTTTAAATTTTGCATCTGAAACCATATGAAAATGTAAACTCCTAGGATCCAATGCAGCGTGTCTCCAATAGTGGACGCCTCATCAGATGTACATTAGTATTCATGTCATAAGATTTAGCCTGTCTGGTAGCGCTTATTCGGGGATTTTTAGCAACTTTTGGACCGTTATACAGTGCAAAAGGTCCCATACCAGCTGCAACTGTTGAAAAAAAAAAAAAAAAAAAAATAGCATGCGTCTTTTTTTTAATTTGAATTATAAGAAATGCCCTGCTAAAGAGGATTGAATGCAAAAATAAAGGGGCACATAGGTCATTTTCTAGTCCACTTTAATTGTTGGGTAAGCAATAAATAATTGCTATTGGTGTGGGACCCGATTGCACTGTACAATGGTCTAAAAGTTGCTAAACATCTCAGAATAAGTGTGACCAGACAGCGGCTTAAGAAATTTTTATCCTGGCCAAAATTTTTTATCAAGATAGGGTGGATATCAGAAGACATTGCGGGTTGCTCCGGAACTCAAGTCATATTGTACTTTTAAGATAGTTATGTCTTGTCTTGAATATCAATGAGTGTAGCTGTATGTAGGGTGAAAGTTTGGGGTTGTCAAGCTAAGCACCTTTTTAGGCCGAGTTGGTATGCTCCAGCCTTTAGTCTTGGAGAACAAGTTTTTTTACTTAAGCTAGTATCTACTTCACCACTCAATTCTATCTGTTCATGACTTAAAATTGTTCATAAACACTTCGTTAACAAATCTAACCAAATAGTTATACGCGTTGACTTAGAGAATAATGAGGTATAAGATAAAATATGAAGTAGAGATCATAACACAAGAAGAACACAAAAATTTTTTAGAGGAATGAAGAATTATTATAAAAAAGAAAGAATCACAAAGATTGTGTACTTCTCACAATTCTAATGAAGTCTAACTTACTTCAACTATAAAGAAGAGCCAACTATATAGAAGTACATGTCAAACTCGAATAAGAGTCCAAAAGATGAATCTTAGGCCGGAATGGTTTATGCTACTCAAGCAGGCCCTTGTGACAGGGCGGAGGTGGGGCCTATCTATTTCACAGGGGCTTGTCAAAGGCCTCTGTTTGTGTAGCTCGGTTCAGGTCAAAATAGCATGGTGCTCGAGCGCCAAGCTCGCTATAATCAAGCGATAGGTGCGCCGCTAGAGTAGTAGGCAGATAGCAGCTTTCTACTGAAAATTTCATCCCGTCACTCGAGCTGTAAGCTAGCGGCAATGCTGTATCTTTTTCTTCTTGACCCATATTTTGACATCTTCAAAGTTCAATTAAACAAATCCACAAATACCCAAATGAATTTGGGTCAAATTTTAACAAGTCTCTACTTGGAACCAAATTTCGATATAATGAACAAATTTCAAAACTCTCCACCTAGAGACAAATTTCACTACAAGACAAAAACCGAACTCTTCAACAAGAACATCGACCGTCCTCTCCAACGAACAAAATTTTCTACTTTTTCCACAAAATCAAACTAGGATAAATAAATCCAAACAATACTCGATATAATTACCTCGGGTTCAAAAATTTGCTCGAATTATCAATACCACAAAATGCTTTTGTAGAAGTTTTTTTTCCCTAGACTTAACATCTTCAACTACATTTAAAGTATATGCAACTAAATTAGCTTTATCGAACTTGTGTGAAGCCCTAGTATTTCTTTTAATCTGTCTCTGACAATTGAATACGATGGCACCACTGATGGTGGTCGCAAAGCACATTATCTATAACCTCCAAACTTGAATGAGAAGTATTCTTCAACATGAACCCCAAAGCAAACTTCAACGGTACAATACCAAACTGAATATCCACCAAAGTGCTAAACCTTTGCTGATTGATTTTCAAAAATTCTGCACAACCTTCCAAAACATACAACTGGGACCTTCGCTGCCCCTCCAATACAACATGGGCACCTTTATAAACCTTTAGGACTCCACCTTAACTAATGAACTTGTACTAGAGATAAGATTTCTCTTCAAATATGGAATGTGTCTTACTAGATCAAGTGTTCTGACCGTCTTATCTAATATCTTAAGTCTGACCCTTTTAATACCAGCTACCTTACAGGGTATGTTATGTTGAAAACAAATCCCGATTGGGAAACATGAAAAGTGCAAGCTATAGCAAGAATTCAATCATTGTCAGGTCTGGAGTCGCTTTCAGAAATAACCAAACTTTCTTCATCACTGAAACAGTTCTCAACAACATTGAATTCACCTGAATTTTTTTATTGCATTCCCTTTTGATTTGTAGCCAACTTTTCTTTATTCTGCAACTTGTAGCATCCTTCTTAATTTGTCCATTCTTCTTACAATAGCTACAAATTTGATTACTAAAGTTAGACTTCGATCTGCCACTCTCTTAACCACCATGTACAACAAGGCCTTCTCTTTGAACCTCAGATCCAATCAAATGCTTCATCTTCTCCTTTAAAACAAAGCATCATATACTTCTTCAACGATGAGAGTATCACGACCATACAATATCGTGTCTCTAAATGACATATATGAAATGGGCAACGAACACAATAAAATCAAACCCAAATTTTCTTCATCACACTTATCCTCCAATGTTTCCAAATCATCAACAATTTCTTTAAAGACGCCAAGGTGATTTTCTAAGGATGTACCTTTTGTTAAACGATGAGAATACAAATGTTGTTTCAGTTGCAATTTTCTATTTAGGCACTTAGTCATGCACAGTTGCTTCAACTTCAACCATAACGTAATTGTAGTTTTCTCCTTCAAAATGTCCTGAAGAATATAATTCAAAAGATGAAGATATATTTGTGAGAAGGCCTTTCAATCCTTACGATGTTTTTTCTCCAATGACCAAGTTGAGGTTACCTTGTCAAATCCCAACAAAGTGTCGTCCAAATCCATCGGAACAAGCACTGTTTGCATCTTCACCTGCCACAACGATAATTTAGTACTGCAATTCAAAGGCAGAATATCATATTTCATGGCTCCTATCACAAGAACAAAAATCTCAAACAAATCAAACCTTAAACTCTAATACCAATGGTTAACAAATCTAACCAAGTAGTTTGGAGCGCTAACATCACTTGCTAGAAAATAACAACGCATATGACAAAATATGAAGTAGCAATCACAACACAAGAAGAACACAAGAAATCGGACAGATGAATGGAGAATTATTATAAAGGTGAAAGCATTACAAAGATTGTGTGTTTATCACAATTCTAATAAAGTTTATCTTGTTCTAACTATAAAGAAGAGCTAACCATATATAGGGTACATATAAAACCATAATAAGTGTCATAAAAATGGAAATAACATCAAAAAACACATCAAAACACAAGACGGATCACGGGTTCAAATGACGCGACGCTCAAGCATCAGGTTCGCAGTAAGCGAGTGATAGGTACACCACTCAAGCGCCAGGCTAGCGGTAGGACGGAAACTTTCTGCTTAAAATTCTGTCCCATTGCTCGAACAGTAAGCTAATGGCTAACTAGCAACATTGCAACATAGTTTCCTGCTCGATCCATATTTTGACATCTTCAAAGGCCAATTCAACAAATTCACAAAAATCCAACCGAATTTGGATCGAAGTTAACACACTTTCCAAACAAATTTTGTCAATGCTAAGCTCATTTTCTGGCCTCAACGGTCCGTTGTGTTCAGTTGACTAAAAGGGGCCTGAGCTCAATAAGTCTCGTCAAGTTCGGAACCTGCGCCATGCCAAGATCTTCACATACATTCATGAGTCAATGAGTGGTGTAGTTAATTCAATGGGTTCCGTGAACAACGCAGTTACCCATGTTATGTTAGGTACAAAATCCATGCGTACTGAACATTCTTAAATGCTAAAACGCAACTGTCCGAACCACATAACAAAAATACTTAAAGTTTCCTGCCAACATAAAAACTAAATCATGTCGTTTTAAATAAATATTAATACCATTACATCTATGTAACATAGAAATAATAGAAATGAATGTGCCCCATGGCCTCTTCTGCCAAATTCACCAAAATATACACGTTGAATTAGTTTTGACAATGATCTGGATTCGTCTAATACATATGCAGAAATGGGTTCGACTTGTTCCAAAAGATTATCCACTGGCCAATCCACTATGACTAGTATTCTTAATTAGAGACGTCTATCATTACTATTGGAAAAAAAATTTCAGCGAATCGCCAACCAGGGGTGGACCCAGACGACTTGGGTTAGGGGGGCAAAAATAAAATTTATAGGGTATCTTCTAATAAAAAAACTAAAGAACAAAAAAAAAACAAAAAACCTAAGAAATAATTTTTTCCCCCAAAATCTAGGGGGTCAATTGCCCCTATAAACCCCCCTAGGTCTGCCCCTGTCGCCAGCCCTTGCATTGCTTGAACGGCATCTTCGCTCATCTTGTTAGCTTGAAGGGTGCTTATCTCATTTGCAATGTTGCCCAGGGAAAGTAAATATAGATGAAAATAAATAAATTCCTTGACGGTGTCATCCATGAAACAAGTGCATCCTTGACGCAGCGAAAGAAAGGAATTCAAGCGAAAACCTTAAAACAAGCAATTTGAAATCCATCAAATAATAAAGAAAATAAACTCACGAATTTATTTAAAAAAAAAAAAGAGCTAAGTTTAGAACGACTAAAAGTAATGAAAAAGAAGTTTAATCAAACTAGAATTAAAAAAAAAAAAAAAGGAAAATAAACGAATTGACAAAAATAGCGCTAAAACTTTAAAAATCAGTTTTCAAGGCCTAACCAAACTTGAACGGT